TCCGCCCCTTACAACACTTTAGATTGAGTTGTCTTATGGTTATTAAAATCAGTTTCTTATTGATGAGACAAGTCTACATTGGTAATGATATGGTAAAAGATCAAGTTTAAATGTCAGTAACGGTAAGTGATACTTATTGTCTTAAACATAGAAATTAATGATCAAACATGTCAATATGATGTAGGTTTAGCGGCTTAGCTGTATGTCATAGAAATAAACTACGAGGTATCTCAGCGTGTACTTTGTGTGAAAATATTAAGCATTTGATATTGTGGGCCATCGATATCGTCCGTTTTGTGCCACGTCCACTTCCTGTTGCCACGCTCCATATACATGTTGTATGGTACCCGGAGCGAATTTTTAGTCGGACCAGAATTTTTAGAACACTTGTTCCGGCCACTCTGTCGTGGTTGTGTTGTTGCATAACATTCGTATGGAGAACAGTCTTACTAATGATAAATGATACGATTGACGCAGTTGTAGTACTTCATAATAGCTGTTATTGTTCAAATATGTACTGTACACCTGGGTTACTTACTTCAATGATGTCAAGTCCACGTTGTCCTCGGTACTGCTATGAGTGGTGAAAGAGACCGGTCTTGATCGGATGGAAGCCCTCCCCCCACCATCAGGCTACAAGTACAGTATAGGTACAAATGAGTACGTTAAGGCCCAGCTTCGCGACTGGTACAAGAAAAAGGGGAAGTGTGGTCGAAACCTGTTGTTTACATGTTTCGCTTGACTTGGGGGCGTCAGTCGAGGTTGGATACTGTTGGAAATACCCCCGTATAGAGAACAGTCTTTTGATACCCTAGACGCAGTTGAAGTACTTATTAAGCTGTTACTGTTTAACAGTTTAACATAAACACTGTTGAAAAAAATCATATCGAGAACAGTCTTTCATTCATGATAGGCTAGTTGCAGTACTTACGGAGCTGTTGCTGTTGTATATATATACTACATGTACATACATGTATGGGACGGGTTGCTTACTGCAATTCCTTAACATGTCCGCCTTGCCCTTGGAACTGCTGAGGGTGAGGACAAGTGGTGCTGGTCCGTGTGGAAACTCTTTAACGGCTACAATTGTACCGACCGGTACATATGCAGGTAGAACGGAGCAGGTAACTCGTACAGGTGAAACCGGAAGTCCCTAGCTAGGTCAGCTCACACCTGTCGTACCGCGCGGGGCCGTCTGGGAACGGGGATTCCACAAGGGCGATTCTCGAATCGTCGTAACACCCTCTTCTTCGTTCATCCGCGCCTGACCAATCCAAGAGCCAATATTTGTTATGGGCGGGTCTGGGTCAGGCCAGCAGGGGCCTCCGACTGCGTCTGGAGCCGAAAGCGGCCCACCCACCCAAGCCACGACGGGTTTAGCTTGGGGTGGGAATGGGTGCCCGCTTTAGAGCGGTCGCCTCAGCGCATAGTCAACTTTTGACTTCAGACGACTATTTCCGCATAACTTCATACCGGAAGTCCATGGCCGCGCATAACAAAAAGGATAGTTTCTAGTAGCCTGAGTCAGTGTCACCAATGGGGAGAGGATCTTGGGGAGCGGACGAAAGCTAACAAGGCTGACACTCAGGCTAACTTTTTAGACCAAGGAGCTAGCTTTAAAATGTTTGGACTCAGAGATACAAAACGAGAGAATATTCAGAACAGGGTTGAAGACCAATAGATAGTGACTAGGTAAATAATCTTATGATTCTAAGTTGAAATGAAATGAAAAACGCAAATGCAGAAAATTTACCAGGAGTAATATCGAGAGATTTAAACAGGCATTATCAGAGGAAACCTGGGACAGTGTGTATTGTACAGATACAAATGTTGCCTACACAAATTTCCTAAAAATCTTTTCTTCACATTTTGACAAATGTTTTCCACTTACGGCAATCTCAACAAAGCGTCACCTTGGCATCGACAAACCTTGGTTTACAACAGGGCTGCGTAAGTCATCTATTAGGAAAAATAGGCTATATAAGAAATATGTAAGGAATCCTACACCATTAATATTACAAAGATATAAAACGTACAGAAACAAATTCAATTGTCTGATTCGTATGTCAAAGAGGAAATATTACCAAGACCAATTCACAGCGGCATCAAATAATATAAGAAATACTTGGAAAGTAATTAATGAAATTCTCAACCGGAAAAAAGGAACAAATAATCTTCCTACCAAATTCCATGAACAAAATTCAGAGATATCTGATCCTAAAGACATAGTGGAAAAACTTAATGATTTCTTTGTCAACATTGGCCCGTCCTTAGCGAAAGAAATCGATATAACTAACCATTCACCCTTATCATATCTCCAAGGACTCTAGATCCTATCCTCCTGTAAGTTCTTTTGAGGCACCTACATCGACAGAAATTTACGACATAATCACCAATTTAAAAAATGCAGCGCCAGGACAAGATGAAATCAGTGCCAGTCTTTTAAAACAGATCGCTACAGAAATTTTAAATCCAGTAACACATGTATTCAAGACTTCTTTGGAAAGTGGTAAGGTTCCCTCTGAGTTAAAGTCGGCAAAGGTTATTCCATTACATAAAGCAGGGGATCCGTGCGTATTCACTAACTATCGCCCTATATCACTATTACCAGTCTTTTCAAAAATCCTAGAAAAAATCGTATATAAACGGATAGTGAGCCACATGGAAACTAATAATATCTTATACACCCACCAGTATGGATTTAGAAAAAAACACTCAACATATATGGCACTCTTGCAGCTCATCAACAAAATCACCGCAGCCCTTGAAAAGAATGAATACACCATTGGTATATTCCTTGACCTATCTAAGGCATTTGATACGGTAGATCATAACATACTTCATGAAAAACTTTTAAATATGGATTTGATGGGTCCGTCCTGTGTTGGCTGAAAGATTATTTAAGTAACAGAAAACAATTCGTCTCTAATGGAAACATCAATTCTTCTCAGAAACCCTTAACTTGTGGAGTTCCGCAAGGCTCCATATTAGGCCCCCTTTTATTCTTAATATATGTTAATGACTTAGCATTAGTATCAGATAAATTTTTACTTTGTTGTTCGCAGATGATACAAACTTATTTATGTCACACAGTAATTTTGATACTCTATTGACAACGGTAAATGCAGAATTAGAAAAGGTCAGTCAATGGTTCAAGGCGAATAAGTTATCCCTTAATATAAAGAAGACAAGTTTTATTATTTTTTCTGGACCAAAAAAGAAGTATGATAAAGAAAAAGCCCACATATATATAAATAATAAACGTATCAATCAAGTAAACCACACTCGCTTTTTAGGAATACTTATAGATGAAAAACTTAATTGGAAGATACATATAGATTTGATTTGCAATAAGATTCATAAGAACATAGGCATCATTAGAAAATAAAGACCCTCCTCCCACGAAGAATATTTATAACATTATACTACAGTCTAATATATCCGTATCTATCATACTGCAATTTCATTTGGGCGAGCACTTACACAACATCAATTAAACCACTCTATCAACTGCAAAAACACTTTGTTAGAATTGCAGCTAATACACACTTCACAGCACACTCAGCACCTCTGTTTCGTGAACTAAAAATCATAAATGTATATGACTTAAACAAATTACAAATAGCCATTTTTGTTCATAAAATCGTTCATAATACCAATAGTTTACCAGATCAATTCAACACTTTTTTTACATTCAACTCAGACATTCACCAGCACAATACGAGACAACATAACCATTTAAGGCCGATCAAGACTAAATCTACACAAAAACAATTCTCAATAGCATATAGAGGCCCCATCGTCTGGAATAAGTTAAGCCAACTGTTACAAAACTGTCAGTCAACTCCTGTATTTAAAAAACTTCTTAAAAACTTTTTCCTACAAAATCCCAGTACATCCACAATCTGATTTGTTTGTTTTCCTTGTTATTGTTAATATTTTGTTTTAATTCTTATGTTAATTATTTAATCAGTTTAATCTGTAAAATCTACCTGAATTACAGGTATAAGACTTTTGTTTAATTTCGTTTTAGTTAGTTTATACACCTCAGTTATTATTTCTGTGTCTTGATTTTGTTTAATTACTCATTGTTTAATCATTTCATTGTTCAATTTTGATGTTTCATTTAAATATGTTTTGTCATAAGTTATCTTTGCTTGGGGTAGGTCTCTAGAAAAACCACCCAGGTTTCTGGCCTACCCCGCACATTCTTTGATTATTATTATTTGATTGTGTAATTGTTTTTAATATACGTGCAAATGGTAAATAAACAAATAAACAATAAGTTAAGCAGGGATATCTCTTCAGCTGGTTACACAGTAATATGCCTCGCTACGTCAAATACGCTACGGCTAGCAAGCGGACACGAGATCAAGGGGTCATGGGTTCAATTCCTGGCGATATACTCATATAGCCTCTACTAGGCTCCGGGAGGCGCATGGAAAGAGTAGAGATTGGCCAAAAAAGAGACTCACTAGAGACTCGAGAAACATTTGGCAAAACTTTTTTTCACATGGCATCATTTATTTGACATAATGCTATATTTCCTTAATCTAAAAAAAAGTTGTTTTACGAAGCATCTTGAGCATTGAAAAAAGGCAAATGCGAAAATTGAAAATCAAGACCCAAGTGAAAAGTATTTTGTATTATTTGTATGCATTAAGTTTGGGTAAATCACAGTGTATAACTATGGGTACAAGAAAGTCAAATTGTTAGGACTATTTTGTTTTTTAAAAGAATGAAACTGTATGTCAACAGATTGAACATTTAGCATCAGTTATCCACATCAGTTCAACATATATAGTAACATACTTAACATAACGGAATATATTGAGACTTGAAAACAAAGAAATGGGGCAAGATGACCGGAAGAAAACAAGCTATATGAGATTTAAAAAAATATTATGTGTCTGACAATTTGAACAGGTACATACTATTAGGAAATCGTAGCTTTTGGTGCTGTCATCTATCAGATTATACATGTAGAATGGTTACATGTACATGTAAGTACACGTAATGCAAATAAATTTGATGTTCTACTCTGTCGGTCTGCACGTCACAAGAACTCACCAATTCCTTTTTTGGTTGAGCCGTTAAACGCCAAGTAATCAATATACTACTTGCGCTCAGACTTCACTTGTCTGTCGTGTCTGCAGTACCTTGTACACTGAGTGACCCAGCGGCACAGACGTCTTCTCTTCTGAGTGTTATGATATATTTTAATTTGTAATGTTATGTAATGCATTATACTTGTAAACGAAAACGCATTTCACTTAAAATATGATTGTCTGTAATCTTATTAACGTTTCCAGAATATTGTAATGAGCAACACAATTCAGACCAGCAGGCCCGCGGCACAGACGTCTTCTCTTCTGTGTGTTATGATATATTTTAATTTGTAATGTTATGTAATGTATTATACTTGTAAACGAAAACGCATTTCACTTAAAATATGATTGTCTGTAATCTTATTAACGTTTCCAGAATATTGTAATGAGCAACACAATTCAGACTTAAGTCTGCGAGTTGTTTAATAAAGACTGAATTGAATTGAATGTCTGTTTTTTTTTTCCCGTCATTTAAATTTTTTTAATGAAAAATCTCAAAACCAACAAGTTAAATTGGTGTGGCTTACAGTGGAGTTAGGCTGATAATCTTTGTCAGAACAGGAGTCAGAGTGGATGTTTTTACTGTCTTGAGGTGCAGACAGGAGGTCCAACATGTTTTATATCATCAGATTACATGATACATTGTAGACCTGATGATGGAGATTAAAATATTATGAAAATGAAATTATTTCTTAAGTGTGTTTTTTTTTTGTGTGTGTGTTTTCAATTGCTAGAACATTGTCATTATTTATTTATATGTTAGAGAGTAGACACGTGAAACCAGTGAGCACAGTTTGAAATATTTCCCACAGTATATTCTTCTTTCAGATACATTCTGGGGTACAAAAGTAGCAGCTGATGTCACATGACATCTACACGCTTTTAAGACGTTATTAGACCTAGGAAAAGAAAATGTGTTTCCTAGAAAAATTTCGGCCGATTGGCAGGGGTTATCTTTTTTTTCTGTGTTTTTTTTTAGACTTTTGCGATTTCTTAATAAGTGAATAATCCAACTTATACAATATATGACATTGTACATGTACACTTTAACAAAGTAAAACTTGCCTAAGGACACAGTATATTTTTAATGTCAATGTTTCATCACTCATATCAGATCATGGAGCTAGAAAAGGTTGGTCAGCTCGAAAAATTTATGTCCCTTGCAATTTATGTCCACACGAAAAAGGCTAGGATCTGCATTTTTTCTAGGGTCTGTTGGGAAACAACATTTTTTCCTAGGCCTTACAGTCGTGGAAAACAACTACGTGTACATTCCCTTCTCTGCTGCATCTAGAGTCTCTACTAGCTGTCTACAATTCGTGTCTTATAGCATATAAAATTGGAAATGAGAGTCATAGGAAATAGTTCAATACATAAATTACAAATCTGCTCATACCTTTCTTGCATAAGACAGTTTGTAAGTTGATGTTGCTATTTGGATGTGACTGTGTCCATACATACAGTACAAAACTGACAATACTGTGCATTCAGACTAATTCATAAGCTCAATATAAATGTACCACCATCATGATAACATTATGAACACTACATGGTAGCAGGTTATCTGGCACGTATGACCCTCTGCTGCAATCACGTGTTTCTGACGTCACATCCTGGAAGCTGCAGTTGACGGGTCCATGAAGAACAAGCAAAAATTTGGGTAAGTCCAAATTTACTTAGCGTTGAACAAAAAGTTTATCCTTTTCATCATATTGAATGAATGATGCTGTGCTTTCCTGTTGTAGAATACAGCTTTTCAAAGAATTATAGGCCGTCTTCCTCTCATAACATGGAAAGGATGAGTACGTATTAACATTTATCAAAATACTTCCATCTCTTTTTGTATAGCCAGTATTACTGTTCTTTCATAAATTTGCATTAAACACACCAGCTCAAGCCCATCTATAGTCAGGATTACATCAAACAAAGATATAAAGGCTTTCATCTTAAATTTTAAGCATAAAATGTATAACAAAATATTGAATTATGCAGAAATTACAGGCCCATGGATATCATGAATATTATACAGTACAAAATGTACATGTATACTATACTTTCAAACAATGATATGTGATAGGAAAAACCAAAAGGTGGGTAAGATTTAAAATGTACTCAAAGCTGCCACCGGTACCACATGAATTGGCAAATGTGAGCTCTATGTTGTATACCAATTTTGTGATTTATAAAAAAATACAGCAGTATATATACAGAAAAGCAAGGCCATGTTGACTTGATTACATGGATGGCATCCTTGATCACATTTCAGGTTTCCGACAAAAATTTAAAACAATTTTCGGCCATACTGTGAATTGTACAAAGCAGCTCCAAAATGAGCAAATATATGACGTACATTGCAAAAAAATAATGGAAAATGATACTAAGGCCACACCAATCTAATTTGTTGGTTCTCAGATTCGCCTCTTCATTTTTTTCTGATTTGCAAAAAAAAAAAATTAAGGTTCTGAATCAACTAAAAAATGCTCATATTTTGCCCCCAACAGTTGAGGAAAGTCCTTTTCTTCCTACCTGTTACAGTTTTTCCATCTATTAATGCAGTGGTTTAATTAGAAGTTCAAAATTCATTGTTTAAATTTTAAGCCAGTCTTTCATGTTGACTTCATGGCTCCTATCAAAGCATTTGGGGCTATAATAGGATGCCTAGACCTTTTTTTATTTTTATTTTTTTTCGCCCTGTTGCTTCATATTTTTTCTGAAAAAATCCGAGAACCAACAAATTAAATTGGTGTGGCCTAATGTTGTAAAATGCCAAAAAGGAGAAGAAGAAAAATGAAATGACTATATTCTTCGCCATACCATACTCTGTGTGTTTAGTCATTTGTTCAACCTTCATGACCACATACTGATTTCACAATGAAGGCAACTTTTTTGCCAAACTTTTTCTTCGCGTACTCAAATCAGTTTTGGGGTTCCCAGAGGATGTCATCCATATACATTGTACATGTAGTCAAATAAACATGGCCTGCATTCATGACAAAGAAAAAAAATCTTGGTGGGATACTTGTTACTTCAAAACAAGGACAGTTTACGAGAATCCTCTTCTAAAACACCCTTGTTCAAAAGTCAGAACAAGTTTCATCTTCTTCTCAGTGCAAAAATAGACAATGACTGGATTATATAGAATCTGACTGATTGCTGCAAGCTGTTTTGTAGTGTTCTACTGATCCTCTGTTCTACTGTTTGTCTCCTAAGGCCACACCAATCTAATTTCTTGGTTCACGGATTTGCCCGCTTGATTTTTTCTGATTTGCAAAAAAAAAAAAAATTTCAGCCTCTGAATCAACTCCAAATACTAATATTTTGGCCCAAACAGTTGAAGGAACTCTCTTCTCTTCAGCGTTGTTACAGTTTTTCCATCTAACCATGTAGTAGTTGATCAAAAGTTTCAAATTCATTGTTTCAATGAATTACAAACTAGCCTGGTGTGTTGACTTCATGGCTCCTTATATAGCATTTGTTGCTGTCATACATTAGGATGGTGAGGCCTGTTTTTCTTTTTTTTCACCATGTCGCTTCATATTTTTTCTGAAAAAATCTGAGAACCAACAGATCGAGCTGGTGTGGTCTAAAGTTTGATTTGGTGGTGATTCCTCTGTTCTGTTCACAGCTGGGGCTTGGTCCACTTGTAGGTGCCTGAGAAAATGAAGCCAAACTTCCTGGCAAGGTCGTCAGATTCCTGTGGGCCTCGGCTGGAGAAATCAGAAAACAAAAACATTACCGGGTATACTAACCTATGAAATACTAGTCTACCAGTTCCAAGAGTAGACGGGTTCATTCCCTAAATAAGGTTGAAAGACTCAGCCAAAAATTTGGGGTACAGCCCCAGAGTGAGTGAGTGAGTGAGTGAGTGAGTGAGTGAGTGAGTGAGTGAGTGAGTGAGTGAGTGAGTGAGTGAGTGAGTGAGTGAGTGAGTGAGTGAGTGAGTGAGTGAGTGAGCGAGCACGCACCAATAAATAGCTAGAACCAGCCTATGATAAGTACAAACATGTAACAAGCAAATGAACCAATTTCTGTCAGCAGCATCACATTTTTGCCACACAAATACTGTACCTGGCATCAGTATGCTGAGGGAAGGGGTTCAGTTATGAAAAAAATGACCAGAAAATAGATTTTACAAAATTAATCCAGTTTTCCTGCCCTAAAATGACTTTCAGTGCCTTTAATATCTGACAAGTTTTTATGATTCTACTACCACACCTTAACACTGCCAACTCACCTGCCATACTTGTAAGGAACAGGCTTGATCTTCTCCTTCTCTAGTTTATGCAGCAGTGGTGTAAAAATCCTCCAGGCCTCTCCAAGTTCATCACTACACAACACAAACATTCATTTAATATAAATAGTATACACACCTCCATCAGAATATAGTGACAAAAAGTAAACATAAAACCAGAAAGGCCGACATTTGCTCAGGAGCAAATGCAGCAGATGGCTTCACCACATCCCCCATACCAAAAATGGACCTATCTTCCTCCTGCACAAATGGATTGTTCCTAAATCAACCCTGTCCAAAATATGAAGTATTTTAAAGGGCTGAATCTGAGTAGTGAACATGGGGGAAAACAATATGTTTCACGTGGTGTGGTGAAGCCATAAGCTACTAGCCATAAGCCATAAGTAAAATCTTAAATTTTGAGACATGCAGCCATTCTCTCATTGGTCCAATCAATAATTGGCATGCTATCATTGGTTGTTCTGCTAATTGTGATGGACATGTGTACAGTCAGACTATTGAGTACCTTCTGACAAAGTGGAGTTGTGCACCACAGAACACATCCAGGATGAGTCGTTCGTATGCATCAGGCATCTTCACTCCCTGTACAGGACAGAAACAACATTGGGATGTTTCTCAGATGTTTTTGCAGAATCAAAGTCTTACAAAGTATATGTAGTAACTGTTACATTTTGTTGTCCAGAATGTTGACTGACTTCCCATAAACTTTGACCCATTACGTGTCATGTCTACAGCACTTGGGTCAGATAGCTGGTGAAGACAAAGGTTTGGTCAAAACTCAGGTGAGTCAATTTCTTTTCGACTTAGATAACAGTTTAAAGACATTCAATCAATGCAATTTCAGGAAGGCAAAACAGAAATACATGTACCTGGTATTCTGGCTGAGGAAGTCCATCTGATATTGACATTTGCTGCCATTTCTTAGCACATTTTCCTCGTCATTTCATACTTAAAGTGTTTGGGGAATAGCCCCAAAACAAGCTACAAATGTACAAGAGGATTTCTTTTATTTCAGGGGTACCACCCATAAATAACTAGCACCAGCCTCTCATACAAAACAAGCAACTGTTTTCCGTCAGTGACATCACATTTTTGTTCACAGATATCAGTATGCTATGGGATAGAAAATTGAATATGAAAATTCAATTTTGCTGCCCGAAATTGCACTGGACAGTTTATCATTAGGCTACACCAATTTAATTTGTTGGTTCTCTTCAATTGTTTCTAAATTGGAAAAAAAAATATTGTGGTTCCGTATCAACTCAAATATGCTCAATATTTTGCCTCCAACAGTTGAGAAAAGTTCTTTTCTTCCTAGTTGTTACAGTTTTTCAATCTTTCAATGCAGTGGTTTGATTAAAAGTTCAAAATTCGTTGTTTAAACATTAACCCAGACTTTTGTGTTGACTTGATGGCTCCTATTGTAGCATTTGGGGCTATGTAAGGATGCCTAGACCTGTTTTATTTGTTTTTGCGTTATTTTCGTCCTGTTGCTTTGTATTTTTTCTGAAAAAATCTGAGAACCAACGAATTAAATTGGTATGGTCTTAATATAGTACGAACCTTGTATCTTGCCCCGTAGGACAGGTCCAGCTCTGACTCCTCAGGGTTGATGTTCATGCCAGGTGCCTTCACCATCATCTTACAGTACACAGCCTCCTGCGGCTGCACCCGTATCACCAGCTCGTTACGCTTACACTGGCCGCCGAAGATGTCACCAGGGACGTCCTTAAACTGGATACGAACTTCTGCCTTCCTCTCGTTCAGAGCTGGGAGAGTTAGACACAAACATTCAACAGGAAACTGAGTAAAGAGACTTTTTCTACACAACCAAGTCTTTTATTCAGCCGACGTTTCGGTGACCGCCTGTCACCTTCCTCAGAGCAATTCTGACTGGTTCACATTGCACTGCAGCACAGGTGTCGCTGCTATAGATGCATTCTGAAACGTACAATATTTACATATCTACACATACGTACAGTATGCGTGGTTACAGTCTGCTTCTCGCTGCTATATGTAGCTGATGTAGGTGATGCTTTTGCAGCGAGAACAGTCAGAAGCTCTGAGGAAGGTGTCTGATAGACATTAAGATGTAGGCAAGGTACATGTGTAGGAAGAATGCCTGGTTGTTTACAAGAAAATTCCAATATCCTATGTTCTACCAAACTGATAAAAATTATTTTTGGAAATCTTACCTTTCCCACACTTCATGATGAAGGGAACTCCGTCCCATCTCTCTGTCTTCACAAACACCACGGCCGAGGCGAAGGTGGGGGTGACTGACCCCTTGGGCACGGTGGGGTCATCCAGGTAGCCGCTTTTGGCATCCCCCTCCCCCTGGGGATCCCCGGTGTACTGTCCCACCACCACATTCTCCAACTCCAGGGGGGGCATGCACTTCAGTACCTTCACCTGGAAAGTATATCATTTGTTTATTATGTTTATGAAAGGAAAACATTGTTTTTGCTACGTTTCCTCTTCTTCTCCAAACACTGAGTCCTATTATCGCAAAAAGAACCCGCATACATGTACATGTGCATTATTCTAGTAACAGCTACATTGTTCCCCTTATTCTAAACACTATGGACAAAAAGATGGAACTGCACATTTTTAAGGCCAGAAATGATGCCCCCTATCCATCAAACATGGCACTGCAGGTAGCAACTGAGGTAGCTACATGTACATGTAGGACAGGGGAAGGACAGGGAAAACACACATTGGGACAATATAGTACTCTTTCAGCACAAAGGACAGGGAAAACACACATTGGGACAATGTAGTATCCTTTCAGTACCAAGGACAGGGAAACACACATTGGGACAATGTAGTATCCTTTCAGCATCAAGGACAGGGAAAAACACACATTGGGACAATGCTGTATCCTTTGAGCACCAAGGACAGGGAAAACACACATTGGGACAATGTAGTATCCTTTCAGCATCAAGGACAGGGAAAAACACACATTGGGACAATGCTGTATCCTTTGAGCACCAAGGACAGGGAAAACACACATGGTGCCAATGTAGTATCCTTAAACTTGAACTTTATTTCTTTGCTTTTGGCCACCTTGGGCTACAGCAATACAGTTTTAAAATTACAATTAATCAATACATGTACATAACAAGAGACATTACACTAAATACACCAATTACGTTAAAACAATACATTTCATAAAAACATCTGTACAAACAAATACAAAATACTAAGCAAGACCAGAATATAAAACCAATTTACAAGGATGTCTACTTAACTATCATTTAAGGAAATTATATCTTGATTCAAATGCAGTGTACAGATACTTCCCCAACTGTCTTGTAAGAGAAACCGTTGGGCCGGCCAACAAAGCTACAAATTTGTGGGGATCAGGGCTCTGTGCATAAAAATCGGGAAGTAGTCGCTTCCTTAGCTTGTTATAAAAAGGACATTCAAGTACAAAGTGATATTCATCTTCTATGACCCCTTCACCACATAATTGACATAATCTATCCCTTTTTTCTGTTTTCGTATGTCTTCCCTTTTCTATATTCAATGTATGCGCCGAGCATCTAAGCCGCGCAATCGCGTGTCTGTGGTGAGGATTATTTATTACTGTAAGATAACTTTCGACGACAAATCTGGTTTTTACCATGTTGTAGGTGGCCAGGCGGTGACTGGCTGCGACATCACTTTCCCAACAATCAATTGCCTGTTTTGTTAATCGCTTTTTGAGAATCCCAAGAAATGTTTCTTTGTTTCCCACACTTTGTTGGAGCCACGCCTCACCCAGGCCAACACTGAGCAACAGATCGCGTACGTTACTCACCCAGTCTCCCCTGCCCACTTGCTGCAATTCAAGTAACATATTGTAACATTTTTTAGAGTATCTAGTCTCACTAATTTCTAGTAATTTCAACCAAAATTTCACAATTCTTATTCGTCTCAGAACACAGAGGGGGTGTCTACCGAGCTCCCCACTCACTGCCGTATTAGGTGTAGATTGCCTGTCACCTAGGAAAAATTTGCAAAATTTGGTGTGTAGAATTTCTAGTTGATTAGCTTTATGAAATCCCCATAGTTCACAGCAATACATCATGATCGGAAGGATCAGTGTGTCAAACAATTTAAACGTACAAATCTGGGGGTAACACACCAAATTTAGCAAGATTTCTTTTCAACAAGAATAAAGCCTTAGACGCCTGAGCAGCTAATGTCTCTTGGGACCCTAAACCATCCACCACTTGACGATACTGTTATCCCTAAATATTTATAAGTGTTTACCACTTCTAATCTGACCCCCGCATAAAACCACTTCTCGCTTTTTCTCAGCTTACCTCCCTTTCGGAAGACCATGACCTTAGTCTTCTCCTGATTTACTGTTAGTTTCCATTTTTGGCAGTAAGAGTTCAGTGCATTTAAAACCCGCTGTAGACCCACTACGGAGTCTGCGCATAGTGCTAAATCGTCTGCAAACATTAAACTCAGAATTTCCGAGTCCCCCACCTGGATTCCTCTACATCCATTTTCTTCCAGATGTTTGTTTAAATCACTTATATAGAACGCAAATAAAAAAGGGGATAAAATGCATCCCTGTCTTACTCCCTTATGACATCTGAAAGTCTCACTTATTTCATCTCTAACTCTCACACAGGATTTAATATCTTCATATAGAGCTTGGATTACGCTGAAAACCTTTTTGCTAATACCTCCTCTCGCCCAACTTAAACCACAAATGCGCCCTATGAATACTATCAAATGCTTTGGAAAAGTCGACGAAGGCGACGTAAAAACGCCCTTCTGGGTTTTGTAAGGTACTTTTGCGTTAATGCATTTAGGCAGAACAAATTATCCATCACTCCGTAGTTTTTTCTAAAACCCATTTGCGACTCAGAGAACTTCTCTTCGTCTTGCATCCAATTGTTAATCCGTTTTTCTAGGACCGATAAGAAAATTTTGCCAAAGACCGAAAGTAGAGTTATACAATCTATAGTTCTGAACTTTGTCTTTCAAACCTGATTTGAACAGCGGGTGTATAATCCCAATTGTCCATTGCTTTGGAAATACACCTAAGGTAAAACATTTGTTGAATAATAACTTTAAATACGGCAAAAACGTCGAAATACTCTCGCGAAAAATTCTGGTAACAGCTTATCTATTCCTGGTGACTTGCCAGGCTTTAGAGTTCCTAATGCAATGTGCAATCTCTTCTTCCGTTATTTCTCTGTCCAAGTTGTCATTGACACAATCCGTGTCATGTAGTGGATCCGGAGTGTTTATGACTTCCTCGTTCGATATACCACCTGCGTAAAGTTCCTCAAAAAACTTTGCGAAGTCCTGAGCACTTATATTACCAATTGTACTTACTTTTTTACCTTTTACAAGTTTCCAAAATTCTTTTGGGTCCTTATGTAAATCTCTTAGCTGGTTCCTAAGTCTCGCTGAATGATCTCTACATTTTATTCTGAGTAAGGCCTTGTACTCCATTTTAGCTTGCTTGAATTGTTTCCAGTTTAGGACATTTCGTTCTCTCCTAAACTTGTGAAGCCATTTACTTGTTTTGTGTTTCGCGAGTTTGCAGTCTTTATCAAACCAACATTTATTGTCAGATAAATTTGATTTTACTGATTTAACTGAATTTAGTCTCATGGTTTCAGCAGCTGTTTCCATCATTTGTCCAATTTTTTCCACAGCTAAATCTATTTCATTTCTTTCTAAGTCTGCCTCTACTTCCCTCAATAACGTTTGTACCGCTTCCCCCTGTAGTGCGTTTCTAAAATCCTGCACTCTGTCAGGGTTCCACCTGTACCGGGTTAACGTGGGGTTTGGATGTAGGGTAGGCTCTGTACAAAGGTGGGATAAAGTGTTGGTCTACAGCGTAGAAAACAAGTGGTAGATGGTCTGACTCAACCCTAGTTAATACCCTAAAATCTGTAACCTTATCAAACATGTTGTTATTCAATAACAGGTAATCCACGACACTTTTTCCTGGAGTTCCCTCAGTGGCCTGAGTAACATTTTGAAAACAAGTGAAGCTACCAATATCTTTGTCGGTGTACAGCCGACCGTTCGCAATCTTTAAATTTGTAGCCCTACACAAGCTAATCATATTCTGTCCAAAACTGTTTATATACATATCTTGTGAAGTCCTGTGAGGTAGAGCAATATCAGATGTATAATTTGTTGGGAGAGGGATAAATCTGTCGTCATCCTCTGTTTCATCTACGTAATCACGCAAGTTTCCTATTCGTGCGTTGAAATCTCCCATTAATATATGATCGCAGTCATCTAAATTTCCCATGTGCTGTGCCAGTTCTATTTCTATAGTTTGAAATAAGTCTTCAGTGTCGTGAAAGGGAGATCCCGTAGGAGAAACATAAACTGTACCGATTAGTAAACTCACGTTCCATTTGAAGAAGTTTTTGTCTAACACGCACCAAATAATGTTCTTTGATTTGCTGGGAAGGCGTTTTACCCCTTCATTAATTTCCTCTCTTACATATAAGACTATACCCCCTGAATTTCTAATGGCACGTTTGCTTCTAATCCTGTTACTCCTGTAAACAACAAAACCATCAACTTAAAGCACCAAGGACAGGGAAAACACACATTGGGACAATGTAGTATCCTGTCAGCACCAAGGACAGGGAAAACACACATTGGGACAATGTAGTATCCTTTCAGCACCAAGGACAGGGAAAACACACATTGGGATAATGTAGTATTATTTCAGCACCAAGGACAAGGAAAACACACATTTGGACAATGTAGTATCCTGTCAGCACCAAGGACAGGGAAAACACACATTGGGACAATGTAGTATCCTTTCAGCACCAAGGACAGGGAAAACACACATTGGGACAATGTAGTATCCTTTCAGCACCAAGGACAGGGAAAACACACATTGGGTCAACCCATCTAAAGCATGACACTGTATCTCCTTGTTCTATTTTGTTTTTCAATATCATACACAGTATTACATAATCAACTCTAGCAATGGGGAATTATGTATATTGTGTTTTTATGACAGTTCAAATGTTGGTATCTTAACTGGGAAGTTACACATGTACATTATGTACATGCGCAAGCAAACTATGCAGGATCTGATAAATATTCAATACACATACACCCAGACCATGTCATGTTATCTGGACTTATATCACTGAAACACTTGTTCCAATAGATATGCAAGGGCATGTCTGTTATAATTCAGCCAGGAACCAATGAATAACAAATAATAATGATTAATAAAACCAGGCCATGTAATCTGGTCATCTCTGGGAAAGGTGAGTGCTATAGGAGTGAGTTTATGTTGCAGGGCTCAAAATACCACCTGCATAAAACCTTACCTGCACTGGGCCATGTACTGAGATTATACAAATAAAGGTGTATTAGTATGTAGATTTTCATTAGCTGTATTTACTGGTAATACCAATGATATGATTCATATTATGTCTTATTATGAAGTATAAAAAATAAGGGCTGATGCAATGGTTTCTAAACAGTTTTAGTAAGATCCATACTTCCTAAATTCCAAGTGGTATTGGGAAAATTTGTCTGGTGGAGGTAATTTTCAATGTTGAAAATATTTCCGAAATAGTTTTATCAGGTTGGTACATGTATAACATATGTCAGGATATAGGAATTTTCTTTTTCACAACCAGGAAAGACTTTGAAGTTTTATGTTTGAGATTGTGTTCTCGCCGCAAAAGCGCCACCTACATCGGCTACATATAGCGGCGAGAAGCAGAACTCCAGTCAAAAGCTCTGAGGAAGGTGTCTGACAGACATCATAACGCAAGCAAGGTGAGAGTCTTCCATGGTTGTGCAAAAAGAAAATTCCTATATCCAATGTAGAAAAATATTTGGAGCCCTGTGTAGCATGATGTAGTGTTGTACTGACCTTCTCATCCCTGATGTCCTCTGCGCTGGTGGAGGCAGGTTTCTCCATGGCAACCAGAGACAGGATCTGCATCAGGTGGTTCTGCATCACGTCTCTGTCAGGACAGGAATGGGGACAACTTGTTACTTTCCAATAAATGTATGAGAGGTCATGAGAATGAATTCTCACAGCGACAAAACTAGATTTTCATACAGCATCATACAGCATGGAAGTCCTAAATGTAAGGACATGGTCACAAAAGTGTCACAGGCAGATTTGGTACAAGATTGCAAAGGTTGGAAAATTTACATAATTACAATGTAGATCAAGTTGTTTTGCTTTATAAGGCCACACCGACTTAATCTTTCGGATGACATCTGCGCGCGCATTGATTTTTGCCTGTTCTCAAAAAAAAAAAAAAAGATCACGTCCTCCGAGGCTCCAGGCCTCTAGACTAGGACTCTAGTCCATGGTAGTTAGTGACAATATGGAGCCGGTTGTAATTCTGGACCAGATGGCACCCAGGCTACCAAACGACGGCAAGAACTCATGCCAATTCATAAATTCTGCAAAAAGCCAGCATGTGTCGGCTTGTCGTATACGTCGCTGTATGTACTGCCACAAATTTGCAATTATGATACCAGCTTTGTATTCCTGTGGTTTAGTAGCATTTTTATTTTTGGCCGGAATTTTTTTATTCACCCCCACCCGCGCACACTAGTTTGGGGGTCTTCAGAGGATGTCATCCATAAAATTAAGTCGGTGTGGCCTAAATGTACAAATTCCTGCTGAAAAGTGTGCATCATACAGCATGTAAGCCCTAACTGTAAGGACATGGTCACAGAAATGTCATTGAGAATGTACAAATGATTAAATAAATGGTCATTTAAAAAAAATGGATTTTCAAACTCCATTTTCTGTTTAATTTTCAGTGTAGCATTTATTGCATTACATTTGTTATAATTTATTAATTATCGGCACTTACCTGATGATTCCAGACTCGTCAAAGTACCCTCCCCTGCCCATGGTCCCGAATGGTTCCTTGAAGGTGATGACGACACACTGTACATGGTCACGGTTCCACAGGGGACTGAACATCTTGTTCCCAAACCTACGGTATATAGATAAATTAGAAAGGTAACATTTGCAAAGCAAATGCATAATGTTTGCCTTCACATGATCTAGCCTAAGAACATTCTGCAGCTATGTTTATTCCTATATAATTCCTCAAACATAACATATAGTGAGCACCCCTCCAACAGGTGTCTGGTCCGGGTCATGGACCTAATTTCTTTCACTTTGGAGAAGGAGAAGAAGAGGAAGAAACGTACAGAGCAAAAACACTGCTATCATGATAAGAGCCATGAAGTCAACATATCAAGATTGTAATTCAAACAAGGAGTTTCAAATTTTACATCAGACCACGGCATTGTTTGATGCAAAAATGTAAGTTAAATACGACAAAGAAAGGGCTATGATATACATAGACAATAAACCAATCAAACAGGTATGTAACACACGATTCCTAGGAGTCCTTATTGATGAGAAACTCACATGGAAGTTTCATATTGACCTTATTTGTAAACAAATCTATAAGAATATTGGACATAAGAAAAGTTGCAAGTTGCCTATCACGTAAAATATTTATCACTCTGTACTATACTTTGATTTATCCCTACTTAACATATTGTAATATAGTCTGGGCTAGTACGTACATTACTTCAATCCGTCCGCTGCATCAGCTGCAGAAGCGCTTTGTTAGGATCGCGTCTAATGTCCCATTTTTTGCTAACTCTGCGGTTCTATTTTATAACTTGAAAATTTTAACAGTGTATGACATAAATAAACTCCAAACAGCAATTTTTGTCCATAAAGTTTTACACAAAAGTTCACAATTACCAGTTCAATTCCAGGACATATTTCAATACAACTCAGATATCCACAGTTACAGTACTAGAAAGCAAAATGATTTAAGGCCAATCCTGACAAAGTCAAATATGAAACAGTTCACGATAATGTTTAGAGGCCCCTTAATTTGGAACAGTTTAAGTCACTCACAGCAAAATTGTCAATCCCTTCCAACTTTCAAAAGACATCTAAAAACTGACCTGATAGAGAAGCCATCTACCACTTCCTGATTTGCTTTTGTTTTCCTTGTTTTCTTATGCTTTGATATTTTCTTTGTGTTAATATTGGTTTCTTATGTTGTTCTTACTCATAATAACTTATGATTTGACTAATGGAAATTTATTCTTTTGTTCAATATGATATGTTCTTGATTGTCTTACTTTATTGTTTAGTTATTTAATTCCCCATGTTAACTTTATTTTATCTTGAACCTATTTTGAGTTAATTTGTTTGCTTGTTTCTTAATACATTGCAAGTTAAATGTAAATGTAATAAATGTATGTAAATAAGAGATCGTAAAATTAATAGGATTTGGGAGAGTCCACTAGACAAACCTTCAGGTTTCTTGGGCTCTCCAGCATATATTTGCTTGTATATAATTTCATTTTATACTGTTACCTTTTTATGTGCAAAATTACAATAAACAAATAAACAATAAACAACTGTGAAGAGCCTGAAATGTTTTTTTTTTCTTTTGCGAATCAGAAAAAAATTAAGAGGGTGAATCCAAGAACCAACAAATTAACTAATTGGTGTAGCCTAAAGTAAGATATCCCAATCTACCTGAGAACCATGAGGTTCTGGACCATCTCCTTGCCCAGGTAGTGGTCGATGCGGTAGATCTGATCCTCCCGGAACAGCTTGGACAGGTGCTGGGAAAGGTCAGCCGAGCTCTCAAGGTCACGGCCAAACGGCTTCTCCACGATGATACGCGACCAGCCCCTGAAGTTTGGAGTGAAACTTTGTGTCAGATATATCTGTTCAGAACTTCAGCAGAGGAAATGTTGCATTTATGCACATATCATGACCGTTCCAAATCGTACTGTAAATCACTCATTTATGTTCGTGGTAGCAAAAGTTTGCCTTCTGAGAAAAATGGACATGTTCAAGGAAATATGCTTTTGCGGTGGTGGCAGGTACAGCAAAAAAAAGAAAGTTGGTGAATTATTTGTTCACGGTAATGATATGTAAGTTCACGGTACAGAAGTGACCACAAAAACCGTGAATATATAATATATATAGTACCACGAAAAAATCGTGATTTGCAGTATACGCGAAATGTAATGGTATGGAGCAGTAGTAAGCGTCATTAATGTTTCAATCATCACACTAAGGACAAAATTTGATATGCAAGCATGATTATGCACAGCTGCTTGAAAAGATCCTGATTAGTAAGAGCAAGCAAATCATAACCTTTTTAAGCACGCTAAGTAGCCATTATGTTACCAATTCTCTATTGGCTACATAGCAGATGGTTAAATAGCAGTCTGCATGCATGCCTTAACACCTCGCCACTCGTGATTTTCTATGTATCAGGATGACTGGGTGATGTGAGAGCTATTTGAAAGCTTCTAGCCCTTCTCTACAAACTAAAAGCTATGACTGGCCATGCTTGATAAAAAAGCAGGGAAGCAAAAAGAAGCCTTGCTATATTGTGATGTTATTGTTCAGCTGCTTTTTTTTTAAATTTATTGTTCAGCTCTGAAGCCTTGGTTATACAGTATACTTAGTTACATAATCTGATAGTATGTATACATTTGTACTATTAGATTTTAGCTATAAGAGCTGTGTTAAACGTGGCAAGTGCATCAGATAAAAAAATAAAAATCATACAAAAGCAAGGAGATTCAAACAGTAAAAGAAAGAAAGAAATGTTATGAATAGATGTAAATAATTATATCATTTCATACAGTCTGGCTGTCAGAACCTCAGACAAATAAAAACAAGCACAAAATTGAGCTTTCAGTTCTTCATACTAATGAAAAATTCTTGAGTTGGTTTGAAATGTGAGATGAGAGTAGGAGGAATGTTTTGCAAAGGGCACAGATAGTCTAGCAAATAAAAATCATAAAATGGCAGCGTTTGTTCCATCTAAACAATCTCTTTGAAGTTCTGATTTCTATAGCTGTGGATTGAGATTGTATTGAGCTAAGCAATATGCACTACATAGCACACCCTCTGTATTATGACATGTATCTTGTCTCAATGCCGTTTCCAAACACCTCAAAAAGCCATCACAGTCAACCAACCATCCCTAACTAATACAGGGCTGATATACACGGGGCAAAAAATATAATTTGGCCTGCATTGAATGACATTCAATTTTACTGTGGCACATCCAAGGTGCACCACAGTAAAATCGACATGCGGTGCTGCGTGGCGATGTTGGGCTTGTTTACACAATCAAAAAATCTGTCCCACAACACAGGCCAAATGATACTTTTTGAATGATAGTTTAGTGTCTCACGATCATTTTAAGTTTCCAAAAAAATTGTGTCATAGCCCACAGTGTACACAATTATGCCAGTAACATAGAATGATCATTTTAATGTACATGTACATGTATGTTGTACTGTGGTCCAGCTGGGACATCACGATTTTAGGGGCTCTTTAACATGCAGATTTACTTGAAAGACAAGACAAGAATTACTCGTTATGCTGCCTTATTTCCAATTGATGTCATGTTTGCTTAATTTGCATAAAATTTGCATAACAGGCCCTAGTACCATGATGTCCCACCTGGACCATAGTACAACATACACTGTACAATCATCCAATGATCGAGAGACACTAAGCTATCATTCTATAGTGCTGGCATAATTGTGTACAGGGTGGGCTATGACACGATTTTTTTCAGGTATCTTCTCCTGGATTACATTGTAAGAAAACCAAGAGTCCTGCTCAGTGTTTCGGCATGCACAACATTAGCAGATTCACAGCTACTGCACAGCATCTGGCAAATTAGATAGTTAATCTACTGTATTATTGGGATTCATCAAAAGTTGCATAATGCTGCCATACCCAGACCCAGTACTAACGGTAGCTGACTCCTCGAGACCACTGCAAAAAATACAAACATCATATCGATCCTTTTATTGGAAACACAATTAGGAGGACTGAATTACGATTGGTTCCTTCCAAGATGGCTGATGAATTTGAAGAATAACATTTTTTAGAACCTTGAGATTGGCATTTGTTCATTTCAATTCCATTTTGTTTGGAGAAATTCTTGCTACTTGGAAGGAAATGTATAGTATGGCTGTATTACAGATTTACAAAGCTATATAATTATGATGTGAAAATTGAAAAAGGTTGTAGCACGGAGGCTTGTGTATTTGCAGAGTATTTCCAAATTGCAGAACAACATTTTGACTCTTCTGCAATATTGCAGTCACTGAAAAAAAAGTATTTCAACCACTGCATAGCAATCCAGTGTTCTAGCCGGCATCCATCTTTCATTTGATAAGATTTTGCTGCTCAGGAAGGACAAAATTTTGCCCAATCCGTAATATTTGACAGATAAAAATCAATGTATGAAGATATGGGGAGAGATGTCATTATACTACCAGCAAAATGATGGCACCCCTTAAAATGCAGAAAATAGCAATTCAGATTATTATTAAAAAGGGTTTAGATTTCAAAATTTTCAGCAGGCCCCGGACCTGCATAGGATTGTTACCGTTTGGAATGCCCATAGCCAGGTTTTGAATGGGGGGGTTCTTCCCACTGCTTGAGGGGACCAGCGAGCGCCAAAGGCGCGAGGTTCCTAGGGGGTATGGGGGCATGCTCCCCCGGGAAATTTTGAAAATTGAACCTTCTGAAATGGCATTTTCTGTGTTTTTTAGAGGATTTCAAAGAAAAAATCAGAGAATCTGATAACTTTTTTCAGTGACAAAGTGAGACGTTTTCCTATGATTCCAGCCTGGCTGGTGACACAAATCAGTCCACCTTTTAAAGAAAAATCTTTGACCTTTAGATAAAAGGTGGACTTTTGAGCCTTGTACAATCCCCCCACCACCACCGAACCCCCCCTGGCTACGGGCATATTTGGTGTTGCCATTTTATTATGTCAAACAAAATTGAGATGACGGCTGGCTAGAACACTGCAGCAGCATTTTTAGCACAGAAAAGGATTTTATACATTTTATTTTTTAAAAGATGCAAACTTGACTTTGCAATTGACTTTCATTTTTCCAAGCCGGAGAAACCGGACACAAAATGTACAAAACATACTGAAAGCAGTTTCATACAGCTTTCGTAGTACTTTAAAAACTGATGATTGTACTTTCACAGTAGCAAACAAAAAATTCATACCTGTCAGTTTGGAATGCAACATTTCAAAGCCTATTTTGTTATGAAAAAATAATTATTATGATTTGCATAATTTACTTACTTATCCTCTTCATCCTCTGCCAGATATAAGGGCATGTTTTCTTTCCTTGAGTATTGCATAAAAATTATGAAGACAACAGCCTTGTTTTCATTTCAAGATTAAAGCATTGAATCAATAAGTCTATACTGAGAGGCCATGCAAAGAATCTCCAAGCAGATACATAGCAGCAAAAGCATTACAGTTAAAACTGGCTCCTGTCAAGATGGCCAGTTCTAAACATAATGATTTTGCCTCCAGATATCTGCTTGAAGATTGCATGCAAAGTCAAATATTGCAATGAAACATGAACAATGAGCTAATGCATGTACAGAATTGTTATTTTAACGTTGCTAGTAAGCCACACCAATTTGACTTGTTAATTCTGTTTTTTTTTTTTCAGAAAAAATATGAAGCGACATTGCAAGAAAAAGATTTTTAAAAATAAAAACAGGCCTAGGCATCCTTTGATAGCCCCAAATACTATGACAGGAGTCATGAAGTCAACATATCAGGCTGGTTTGTAATTCAAACATTGAATGAATTTGAAACTCTTAATCAAACCACTGCATTGGTAGATGGAAAAACTGCACCAACTCTGAAAAGAAGGGACTTCCTTCAACTGTTGAAGCCAGAATACGAGCATTTTCTTTTTGCAAATCAGAAAAAAAAAATCCATGAACCAACAAATTAAATTGTTGTGGCCTTATCCTGAACTTATTTAATTGGTATTAAAAAGCCTTACTCATGTCCCATGCAGCACAGCCGGATGTTGGAGGACACATCTTTGAAGACGGTGGGTGGCAGCGCTAGGTAGAACAGCCTGTGAGCCAGGTCACCCTTAGGGAGGGTGTTGATCTCCTGGTTCAGGTGTTCGAAGTCTGTCCTCTCCGTGTAAGAACCCCGCACGTACCAGTTCACCTTCCAGAACTCCTCATACTTCTCCTTCTCATCATCTTGGAGCTAAGTTTGTCATGAAAAACAGAGACGTTTGTTTGTTATGTTTACCGAAAACATATTGTTTTTACTCAGTTTCTTCCTCTTCTTCTTCTCCATACTGTGACCTCTGACCCTGACCAATGACATGATTTGTTGACGTCTGTCACCATGGTAACTGGTGTTGGGTTACATATTGTTGCAATTTCATGGTCTGCTCTGCTGTTGTTACCATATACATGTACTCGTATAGTACATGTACAATGTATGTGAATGTGTTTCAGTAAGAATTAATAATAACAAAGCAGACCATCCATGTCTGAAGGTAAACATTATGCATTTGCTTTGCAAAATTAATGCTATTTCTCTAGTTTGTTTGCTTCCCATAACCGGTAAACCGCCTATAGGCGTAACACACCAGTTTTTACACATGAATACATGTACATGTACAAGCTGTGTAAGACCGGACTGTATTGAACCACTCACACTGGGAAGGTCCCCTACTCTTTTCGATAAGTGCGGTGGGTTCTTTAACGTGTGTGGGGTACGTGTGGCTCTCTCCAAACACGGGACCTCCATTTAACGTCCTATCCTAGGGACAGGCTTTTGCTTTTGCAGGTTCTTTCTATACTGTCCGAAGGACAAGCAAGCCCTGAAGGTGCAAGCTTCCTAGGGGGAACCCCTGCAAGGGACAGATTTTTTTTAGCTGATCGACCTTTTCTACATTTGTAGCTCCATAATCTGACACCTGAGTGATGAAACATTGTACAATCTGTTTTCAAACATTGACATTGAAAATTAATGTGTCCCCATGCAAGTTTTACTTTGCAAAACTGTGCTGTAACTGTATTGAGTAGGGTTTTCATATTCCATATTAGTTTAAGTCGCCATGCAGCTACATGTACATGTAGGTGAAAACCCCATGTTGTTGAATACATGTAGAGAACCTTCTCAACTGTACGTGAAGCCTCCAGCAAAATGGATATTGCCTTGCCAATTTGATACCGTCTAGCCAATTCAATACCATCTTGCAAAATATCTGCTTGAAGATTATGAAAACCAATGCATACATGTCAGTGTTCGAAATAGCTGTCTGTAGTCTGCAATCTGCAGATGGATTTTCAAGATTGCAGAAGAAAAATTTATACAATCTGCAATTTTGCAGAAGGAAAAATAGGCTCCAGGTTCTCAAGTTGTCAATTTAGCAAAGTACCTCAGGCTCCAAACACAGACAACATTTAAGCTCCTGTTCTTAAACATCAGGAGCTTCTTTACTACTACTAATTTGCACCATCATTGTCTTGACTTGTCTATCTTTTGTTTGCTTTTGAACTTCCAAAAATTTGTATTCACTAATTTGCATATCAATCAATAGTTCGTGTTTATAAACCTGCAATTCTCCTGCAGTCTCTTAGTGTCACTGATGTAAGGTACCGGTAGGCCTCACCTACTCACCTACATGGTTTAAACTCCCTTTCTACTCACCTTCATGTACTGAGTAGTCTTGTCCCTGACTCCCTCCACAGTCAGGTCTGACCTGGCATACCCAACAAAGTAAGTCTGCTTCGGCAACAAACCATCCTTGAACAGCCACCTGGTGCAACACACATTGTTCAAAGTTCAAAGTCAGAAGTAGCGCTATGTAGGTCTGGATTCAAGTCCAGAGGTTTAAGTTCAGGTCTTGACTGTCTTATACATTGTAAGTCCGGACCTAAGCCTATGGCAAAAATTATACTGTACAAACTTGTCCAGGCATTAGAGCTTAGAAGAAATATATCAAGATGTATTGTAAAAGCACAACACAACATCTGGGTGAAACTATGGCCACATAATTACGGAGGCTGACACATAATGCACAATGACAATTCTTCATTTTGCACCGCAAATTTTTTTATCTATGAATGGCTTTGAATGGTTTAGGATATGATTTTGTTTTTTTGTAAGTTGAGAAACTCGTTCCTAATGTTGATGATTTATTGGACTTAAACATTTTTACAAGTACGGAACCATGCGCAGTCCAGCGAACCGGTATACAGCATTTAAGCCACACAAAGTAATCTAAAATATTCCTACATAGACTAAGGGTCATGGTTTGGTCAGATTTTAAAGACAATTTTCGGGTGGAATTTTTGGGTGGCAAAACAAAAAATTTTCTGAATAAGGAAATCTGTCTGATAATGTGATATTGACATCTAATGCCATAATATTTCATATATTATGTATATGGTTTTGGTTTTCCATTATGATAATGGAAATCAATTTCCAACTTACAATACAGATGTAACATTACACATGTTACAAGTTAAAAGCAGTCCTGGTCTTTCCTTTTTGACTTCCTACAGGCTTTCCAAGGATTTTTCTACCCTTTTGTTACATCAATGACATGGTATTGAAGCCAAGGTCAAATATCCTTTGTAAACACTCACCACAGTGTAGGGTAGATTTTCTTTTTAGCCAAGTCACCCTGAAAAAGGAAAAAAAAATAAAGAAGAATGAAGTTAACAAGACAAACAGATGGACAGTGACAAATTGTTTGGAGTTACTAGCTGTATTCTACATTGTATGTATGACATATTCATATATATATATAGTATACAAGGCTCACAATACCACCCGCATATGCAGGTTTAGTATAGGTAAAATTGGAGCTGTATGTGCAGGTATTTCTGATGTCTACCGGTATACCTGCACCTAACCTGCACTGGTCCATGTACTGAGTATATGCAGGTTAGTGCAGGTAAAATTGGAGCTGTACATGTATTTCTGATGTACCTGCACCTAATCTGCACTGGTCCATGTACTGGGTACATGCAGGTTAGTGCAGGTAATTTTCAATGTTATTTGCACCAGTGCAGTTATGCAGAAAAAAAAGAATATTCAATCCTTGGATACAGGTATACATGTATGTCTGATTACATCATAATAATTTTATTAGTTTGTACCAATCTATCAACAAATAACTTTAAACTTACCGGTAAATGTTCAAGATAAACTCGCAAAGAATTTCCCAACAACAACACTGTATTTAAGTGGCCAGCTATAATTAACAGTGGATCAAAATGGATTGCTACACCTCAAAGAAAAAGGCATACACAGACCCCTTGATACATTTGTACTTTAATACCTTGATACCCTCCCACAATTATTAAACCAACAACACTCACCGAAGCCCCGAAGACTACGAAGACATGAGGAACATCTTCTTGGTGCAGGGTCTCCTTAAGGATGCTGACACCTTTAAGGAGTTGGTCCTTAGTCTTCTGGACGTTAGAGATGGCAGTCATGTTGTTGTCCTGTCCTGTATGTACTGTACCCTGTACCTTAAGAGCGCAGGGTTCTCCCGTTTCTGGGTTTGATCCAACCCCAGGCTGTGTAGAATATGGATGAGTATCAGTGTTTGAAGCCGCTGGTTTGACTCTTAATACACCCTTAGGCGTAGTTGATTGTCTGGGTCTGTCCTTGCTGCTTCCTGTACCCATACCCACACTCTATGGTAGGCGTGAATCATCAAATCTTCAACTTAGAGACCTTTCGTTGGGAATCAAACTGTATCTGACTATTAAAACGTGTAGGCAGGCGACAGTATGTCAACAAAAAGCGCCCAGGCAACCTCTCCCCACATGTGAGATTTGCTAACCAGACGGAGAACTTAAAATCTTCGAGGGGGGACTTAATGTGTTCTTCCAAACTTCCCAGAATTAGCGAGTACTTCACGGAAATGGCATGACCAGGAAACGATTTTTTTCACGTTCTTATGCCCTTAATGGTATCCTAATATAAAAGACGTTGATAGTTAATGTTTGTTGCCATGGGTCTCAAGTTAATAAATACCGTTATCAAATTAATATTTGATCAGCGGTAAGACAGAATGACAAGGCAGAATTTTATCACGCTGTGAACTATGACATGCATTTTATAGCCAGCTCGAATCACCATGCCGTATTGTGTGAACGTGTTTACATAATGTCCTGACCAGATGGCATTACCGCTGAACGATATATTATCTACGTGACCTTAAAATGCCTCTAGTCTATTCCTTGTCAGTCTTATATCTTTAGTTTAATTGTTTGATTAAGATATTATAAGGAAACTAGGCCCTTAAATTTAAAACTTTTACGCCATGTTGCTGCTTAAAACGTTTTAAGGGCTTTTCGAGTACGTGCTACAATGTATAAAATGGTGACAACGGCACAGAAAAAATGTAAACCCTTCAACAGTGTCTGGACGTCTTAAATAGTGTAAAATTTACGTACTTTACCTGATGATCCACCCCCTTTGTGTAGATAGCAGCTCCGCCCTCTCAGCTGTGACAGGACCAGAATGTTTACAGAGGCGGATCATTCCATTCAGTTTTAAAGGGCCGAGTTAAAACGTACGATACCGTGCAAATATCAGAATAGCGACTTGTATAATGCTATATATGATACATGAATATACGTATATCCGTTGCATTCATAATACTTCATATGATCGAAATATATCATAATAGAAAAGTTAAATTCCCCCACCATTTAGTGAGGGTGGCCCAAATTACATACCGGATATGAAATGTTGCATTTCCGGTATTCCAACGAGAAAGTAAAAATGGCGGTTCGTTACGAAAGTGGATGAAGAAGTCGCGTGAATCGAGCGGTTTTACGTTGCTTTGGAGCGGGTTAATTCCGGAACGACTGGTGAGACATAACATTCCCTTTGAAGCAGAATAATTTGTAATTTTCCAGACAATCTAAGGTTATTATTAGAGCAGTGAAAGATAGATGAAGCGAGAAAGTTGTTTGTAAAATCTCCGAGTCCAAGCAGATCCCTCTCGGTGGCAAGACAGTAATTTAGCCAGAGAAGGTCCGCGGCCACCGACGGGTGGGGGTACCGACAAAAAAACGGCCAAAGCTAACGATCATTCCCCCACAACCTCTGTTTGGAGAGTAAGTTGTTGTTTTATTTTCCTTTCAGGGTTGGACAAGTCCCATTGCCCACTTGCCCAAGGCAAGTAAAAGTACTGTTCGGGCAAGTAAAATATCCCCCAGTACTTGCCCGATTGGGCAAGTACATTTTTTGGATGCAAAGTATTAGCCCCTGCAGGATTTCAACCAAGTTTCAAACAATTTTGATAAATAAAGCATCCAGCATATTCAACTCTATAATGAAATAATTTTCTTTCTGCTAGTAAAATGCATAGAAATGTGTCATATTTTGGGCAAGTAAAAAGTTGGTTCGGGCAAGTGAAAATGACATGTACTTGCCCGATAGGGCAAGTGGATTTTTGAAAACTTGTCCAACCCTGCCTTTATTGCCCACGATCATGATAATGATCATTCAGGCATACCTATTTTCACCTGAGCAATGTGAGGAAAGTCGTGTAAAGTGCCTTTTCCAAGGGTACAAGGTTTAGTGACTTGGCAGGATTCGAACCCGGGACCTCTTGGTTATGAGCTAAATGTTTCAGCCATTATGAATAATAATTACGCCACACAACCTTACAATACAAAACCATGATTTTACGTCATATTTCTATGCAGTACAAAGGTTGAGGATGAACGGGTGCCTGATCCCCCACACGCCGTTTGCTGTGGACTTCTGGAGGTCCCGGGAGTGTGGCAACACCAGACTGTTCTTCCTGTCACACATGCACGCTGATCACACGTCAGGTAAGAGACAAGACCCCTGGTGATTGAGAATCCTTTCGGCCAGAGAAGCCATACACCCCGCTACTGGGCGTGATAGATAAAGGGCTTGGGCGGCAACAACTTCTGGTAGCGGACAAGTGTTTCTCCCCCCTTCCCCCCCAAAAAAAATTTATAGTAAAACATATAATGATATAAAACGCTACGGTCTTGCACCCAGACAAATTGAAAACTTGGCATATGATAGAAAGCCAACCTCTGATTTTAGTAATTATGTGACAAGCATGTCTCGTATCAATTTTAGGATACCTCATTGGATAGACTTGTGGCTGTCAGTAGCCATCTGGCAATGAGGGCAACACTGTTTGTGTGTAGTACTGTACTAGTGTGCAAACAAATGAACATCCCAACAGACAATGTCACAGCATAGCCCATTGGCATATAGCCTGGTGTCCAGTCTATCGTGTTTAGGGCAGGTTCTCCTTGAGGCTGCAGGAGCTCTTCCCTGCCCTACTTAGCTAGGTTCCCCTGTAGGTTTTGCCAAGGAGGTTTAAAGTTAAACTTTCTTGGTTTTGCACAACTAGGTCAATCTGCCCCATCACGATATCATTAAGCTGTGGGCCATGTGTTCATTATGCTTACAAGTTGAATTTCTCGAGTACATTCATTGAAGCTATAAATGCTGTACAGTGAACTAAAACTGCATTGAGATAACACGTCGGCAGAACGTACTACACCTGTACAAAACCCATAATGTATTGTGCACAGCACTTCGACAGAATGTCTCATATGATATATATAAGGTCGTATTTGTACATATAAGGTGAACACTAAATGTCTGTAGTTTCCAAATATTATGTGGAAAAAAAATATTATACGTAACAGGCAGAATTCTGATGCAACGTTGACCAAAAATCCGACAAAAATGGGGAGGTTGGTGCAGTACGTTCTGCCGATGTGCTGATTGAGATTACATTCCCTCCTCTTAGGACTATCTCCATCATGGAAACATCCCATCTACTGCTCAGAGATCACAGCCAAGCTGCTGGTCCACAAGTTCCACATCCCCCCTGCCCTGGTGCACCCCCTGGGGGTGGGGGAGAGCCACATCCTGGCGCTGGATGAGACAGGACAGGAGACCATGACGGTGGCACTGTTTGATGCTAACCACTGTCCCGGCGCTGTCATGTTCCTGTTCCAGGGGTACTTCGGATCCATCTTCTACACCGGAGACTTCAGGTAGTGCCGCCATTCATTATGTTTTACCGAAGGAAAACATATTGTTTTTGCTCAGTTTCTTCCTCTTCTTCTCCAAACAGTGACCTATGATGACCTGCCCAATGACATGATTTGTTGACGTCTGTCACCATGGTTACTCGTGTTGGGTTACATAATGTTGCAATTTCATGGTCTGCTCTGCTCCTGTCACCATATACTAGTAGTAGTCATCTGGTAGTAGTACTGTAGTCATCTAGTAGTAGTATATGTATGTGAATGTGTTTGAGTAAGAATTAACAGAGCAGACCATGTCCAAAGGTAAACATTATGCATTTGCTTTGCAAGTGTTACTTCTCTAGTTTAATTTGTTGGTTCTCGGAATCACCTGCTTTATTTTTTCTGCTTTGCAAAAAAATACATGAATCAACTCTAAAATGCTCATGTTTTGGCCCAAACAGTTGAAGAATCTCCCTTTTCTTCAGAGCTGTTTAAGTTTTTCCATCTATCAATGCAAGTTCTTGGTTTGTTCAAAACTTCAAAATTCATTGTTTGAATTACATTTTACAGCCTGGTACATGTATGTTGACTTTATGGGTTCTATGATAACATCTGTTTTAAGTTTTTTTCGATCTGTCGCTTCATCATAACTAATGTTCTGAAAAAAAAAAAACAACTTTGGTGGTTGTGTTTTCTTCCACTCCAGATACAGTCCGGAAATGTTTGACCACGAAGTCCTGGCTAACAGACCTCCTGTTGACGTACTGTACCTGGACAACACCTACTGCAGCCCGGAGTGTGCGTTTCCCTCCAGGACACAAGCCACACAGATGATCAAGGACATCATATCCCGCCACCCCGAACACGATATCATACTCGGGATGACGATGCTCGGAAAGGAAGACTTACTTGTCGACCTAGCCAAGACATTTCAGACCTGGGTGGTTGTTTCGCCGCAGAGACTTGAATCCTTAAAGCTGCTGGAACTGCCAAATGTCTTCACCACGGATCCCGAAGCCGGGAGGATCAGGGTCGCTCTGAAGTACCAGATCACCAGGAAGAACATGGAGAAGTGGAACCAGGAGCGGCCGACGATAGCCATCCTGCCTTCTGCGTTGTACACGGGGTTGGACGGGAAGCCGTACGCCAACCAGCCTGACGTCCACATCGTCCCGTACTCGGACCACTCCTCGTACCGAGAGTTACACGACTTTGTTTCCAGGCTCAAACCGCGGTCCATCATACCTGTGGTGAAAGGGAACAGCAGAGGAGTTTTTGGGTCCTCACTGCAGGCGAGAGCAGACATGCACTGCTTCGACAACTACCTAGACACAAGCGCAAAGACAGCATTCCAGATTCCCGAATCCGTCAGGAAGTTTATGTTTCACAGCTCCCATTCCTCAGTCATTGACGCGTTCACAGAAGACGTTAGTGAGAGAAAAGGGAAAAGTGCCAGGAATTGTGTCCCTGCGAAAAAGGGAAGGCCCATGGGTGTAGTGTTCATAGACTCACCACAGAACACACCAGAAAAAGCCAAGCCTCAAGAAACGGTAGCCCCAGAAAACGATGGCACGGACATCTGTGAAGAGACAACTGACAAGACTGTAGCAACAAGTAGTGAAATGTTCCTCGGTAGTTCCAAGTGTATGGAGAAATCTGAAAATAGGGTGGAAGAAACTGTTCCATCTTGCAACGCTGGGGGTCAAGTAAAGAACAGGAAGAGAAAACTGCCTGCAAGTATAGCCATCCTCGCCCAGGCTTTTGCTTATCATACTGGGCAAAAGGGGGATTGTGACATTGACCCTGTATATTTAGAAAGCAGTCCAAAGCGTATCCACCACCAGTCTGAAGAGAAAAGCAATGGTTTTGCCAATGGAGATGGGAAAAAGCAGAACAGTCTACTCGCACAACAAGAGAGAAAGGTACTAGCATGGGATGAGAACAGTCCTCCGGAGTTAAATGCTGATGACTTTTCTACTCACAACAGTGTAAATAAGAGTACAGGCTTGTCTAACAAAGTGCCTTCAGAATCAGAAAATGGTGAAGCTTCCAAGACGCTCAAAACATTAGTCATGCCACCTAGGGACTTGGTGCAAAACTGCAGCAGGCCATCTGTCAAGGGTTCTACCCAATCGGCAAGAAAGGGACAACAGACTCTTGATGCATTCTTCCCAACGAGGACTGTTGAGTCTAAGACATTGGGCCAGTCTTTCGAGGATAATCCTGACAAGATGCAGTCAGAAAAACATGGTAGGGAAAGCACAGCGTTGTCAAAGAAGTCATGCAGTGACAGGAAAGAAACAGACAAAAAATGTCAGACCAACTGTAGAAAGTCGACAGAATGTAGAGAATTCGAAACAAACAAGGTCTTTTTTTACAAGTCTTGCAAAGCTGACACAGAGTCCCTTTCAAAATCATTCATCAGTAATGGTTCGTCTGAAAGCAATGATAAAGACGTGTGTATTTCTGATTCAGACTCAAGTGAAAACAGTGAGTCACTTTCAAAGTCACCTAAGAAAGAGTTCCTCTTCCAAAAGTCGCAGACTAAAAGTAGAAAGAGTGGGGAGAATGCTGTTAGTTTTGGTGTAGGTGTTGGACTTAGTACTAGTAGTAGTAGGTCTTGTTCGCAAGTATTGAAGAAACGAGCATCCTCATTGGTGGATGAAGCTCACTTGGAGGATGAAATCATTGAGTCTCTCGTGTTAGAGGATAAAGCTACGTGCAGTCCCGTACAGAAGAAGGGGAAAATTGTCTTACTGAAAAGTGTTGTCTTTTAAACTAAAGACTACATGTACGATGCATGTGACGCAAATAACACTGAAAATATTCAAACGTGATAGGTATTATTCAATGAACATAGCAGTTTGTACCAAAATTGCACACTTTTGATGTTAGGGAACTTCGAATCTTGAAAAATAATCCTTCCACTTGATTTCTGTAGCCAGTTAATCCAATTAATTTTGTCAATGATGTCCCAGTGACCATGGCAGCCTATTCAGAACCTGGCACCAAGGCTCATAAATAACATTCTTTCACTACGTAATTGTCCTGACCTCCATTTGCAAGGTCATATTAATTGTTGCTTTGTTTGCTTCTAAAAAAATGTTTTTTACAAGCCTTGTACAAGGCTCAGGATTCTGTTTCCTAACATGATAGGAGTGTATTTTTTTGGGTCCAAATGTATTTGTTCGTTGAATAATACTTAATATCACGTTTAATATTTTAGTGAAGTGAGTGAAGGAACTGTTATATTTCATTGTTGTTCAAGTTGGTTTCATGTTATGTTTAAAGTGCAAAGTATGGAAAAGGAGTTCACAACTAGAAGGATTTGAATCATTTTAAGCAAAAGATTTTTGATACACGTAGATCAATCAGGTATTAGAAAGCAAAGATAGGACTTTGTGAATAATTGCACATTCAAACAGGTCTTTGAGATGAAAAAACAGTTGAATATACATGTATATTGTACCTTAAAAAAATGTAAATCATTGAAAAAAAGTGCAGGTATGATAGAAAGTTTAAGTTGCTGCTGAGGACAGATTGCATTAATAAAGACATACTTATGGTGAATAACTAATTTAAAAACTAATTTACTAGGTCTAATTTGTATACTTATTTGAAATTGACTCAAAAAATCAAGATGTGATGTGAGCACATGTTGTAAGAGATTATGATTTATGAAATAATTGTACCGGTATTACAATAAATTTGTATATCTGTAGTGTTGTAACAGACTCTCTCCCTAGTGCTGTATGAGGAAAGATACAGGAAAGAAGAAAGATATGTATGTTTTATAAGGTACAAGTGTTATAGGGTACATGAAAGTGAGCAACTGACTGGGCCAAAGTCACTACATGAAAAATATTTACCCAACTAACTGAAGAATGAATAAATAGTTTATTTCTGTAAAACATTGCAGCCATCTGGCTGAAATACGTTTCACTACATAAATTCAAATGCACAAAGCTAAAATATGACATAACTCAATGACTAAATGGAGTGTGGTTGGTTTGATCGGTCAAGTTACAACATATCATTTGTCCTTATTCAGTTGTCTTAATATAAATTTGACTGAGATGGTACTGGTTTATTTTGATATTGAGTAAGAGTGCAAGGTGCAAGAGTTTCTAAGGCCACACCAATTTAATTTCTTGGTTAACAGATTTTTCTACAAAAATAATGGAGCGGGCGGGCGAAAAAAAAATAAAAATAAAAACAGACCTAGGCATCCTATTATGGCCC